AAATAAACTTTGCCGCCCTTGCGGATTAACAACACCGAGATTCAGAACTACAAACCCTCTTGAAAAGCAAATCTTCCACCAATCTCACATTGCGGCCTATGCAGCTGTCACCTGGAAAATCACTTTATTGTGATGTTCAGGATTCAAGATTTCGACCTTATGTTTTCTCCGGGTTTCGCCATGTCATTTTTAGTTTCGCCATCATCTGTCACATCCTGGCATCAAGGCTTCGAGGAAACTGATACAGCAACGTTTCGTATGACCTAGCATGCAAAAGGACATAGCCAACTGGACACGTTCGTGCTTGGAGTGCCAAATATATAAAATTGTCAGAAACACCACCAGCCAACTTAAAAAATTTTAATTTGCCCTCATCTCGCTTCAATCACTTGCACCTCGACTTGGTCGGGCCATTACCGCCTTCTAATAGATATTCCTATATTCTTACTTGCATTGATTGATTTACTCGCTGGCCCGAAGCCGTTCCTTTGGTAGATATTTCAGCTGATACGGTTGCAAAGGCATTTTACACCGTTTGGATTTCTCGATTTGGAGTTCTGGAGCAGATTTCTACTGACCAGGGGCGTCAGTTCGAGTCCCAACTCTTCACGTGACTATTTAAGTATTTGGGCACTTACAAAGTGAGAACCAGCCCCTACCATCCAAGCTCCAATGGAATTGTTGAGAGATTTCATCGCTTGTTAAAACAATCAATTCGATGCCACACTGCATTACAGTGAACTGATGTGTTACCTACTGTACTTCTAGGTCTTCGATCAGCGTTATCTGAATGCCTCTTCTGCCGAACTGGTATATAGTACTAATCTCCGTTTGTCTGGGGATTTTGTACATTCAGTCAATCTACCTGCAAAGTAGATCCTGTTACATTCGTGCATCAGCTTAGAAACTGTATGTCAAAATTGCGACCAGTTTCTGCCAGCGAATTGCAAACAAACTGTGTTCGAGCATAAAAGAACCTAGAAACTCATCTCATGTTTTTCTCAGATGTGATGCTTTAAACCTTCTCTCGTACCACAGTATTCCGGGCCCCATCAAGTGCTAGCTCGAAACGAAAAAACATTTAAAATTTTGGTCAACGAAAAAGAAGTCGTCGTTAGTATAGAGTCTTAAGCCGCCATTTATCTGGACACCAGAAGCCACTGGAGCTAATGCGTCTTCACCATCGCAAATTCTGTCTCAAGATCCACATATATCTCCAACGAACTTCAGCGCAAGCTGTTCCAAGCCTTGGACAGAAACCACGACTTCCGACTTATGCTACGATAAGAACACGCTCGGGTCGTCGAGTTCGCATCAACCCAAAGTATTTGTAAGGTATCGTTAGCACTGGAGGAAGAGTACTGTGGCAACTTGCTTCCTACAACTCAACGCTGCCAGTCTGGTAACCCATAGCAACCAAAAACAAAATAATTTTTATTCTATTTTATTGTTATTATTATTAACAATCTGTCTCAATTATTGTACTACCATAATAAAAATAGCATTACTACGGTAGAACGTAAGCCCCTACGGTAGAAGAAGAAGTAGTTAATACTCGCTATATCTTTGAAGAATAGATACAGCAGAAGAAGGTTTAAATAACCTTTTTATTTGAACTAAAATAAACAGGTGCATGCACTACGTGCTCACAAGTCACCAGCACTTGTGACTGCTTAAATTTAACAGAAAGTAAAAATGTAACGAATCACAATAAATTTAAATGGCTAATGACTGGCTCCTCAGCTTATCTAAACTGCTAAATCGGCTGCATACAGCAAATCAGAGCTTGGAATATCAGTATAAACTGATGGGTGTCTAACATCGACTAGAGAGCTAAATTCAAACCCGCACCATAAACTCGGAACTAACTCCACTACTCTCTCGAACTCTTGAAACGCAGCGTAAATACTACATCCGAAACATGTTTAGATTTGCATACTACGTTATAAAAAATTTACATTCAGGCAGGAAACTGAAATCAGCAGAGAAAGGAAAATAAAAACTAAAAATAATTGGTTAGAATAAAATAATGTCTTTACAAGTCTTTCACCAGAGCAAGGGTACTCGGAAGCTCGAACTTGAAATTTGTTTTATTGCCTATTTTATATTTTGTGAAAATTTAACAAATTTTTAATTAAAAAACTCAGCAATTTCAAAGTGAGCAGTGGCAACACAGTACGGAATAAAATATTTTCATCTCCAGTATAAGAGATTGCCTATTGGAAACCCTAAAGATATGCTGTTTTTAAATATTTTTACTCCAACGTTGCCTTAGTCCAAATGCTTTCAAAACGTGTATGTGTTTGTAAATGAAAAAAAATCTAATGTGTATACCAAATGACTTCTATGTACGGAATATTAAATTATACTAATTTTTTTTGGCATTTCATTTAAACTTATTGGATTGAATTAAATCTACTTCGTCGATAGCGCATAAACCACAATAGAATAAATGCACTCTTTAAAATTCACTATATTCGTTTATTATAGCGACACTCTGGCGCTAGGTTCACTTAACCTCGTTATATTTCGTTTATATTATAACTATGTCTATGTCTATGTCTTATCACTTAGTAAGAGGCAATCGACCATTAATGGCCTTTACCAATATATGATACTTGACTTTTAAATGCTTGAAGAATCGAGTAAGTTGTATCCAATAATATGGAAGTACTTGTACACATTCTGTGCTAGAACTCAGAGATTACTAGCGACGGAGTCTCCTGTGCCGTCGTCCGTAGAATAAGTAAAATTTGAACAAATGAGGTGCTCGTGTCGCGCCATCTATTAGTAGTGAACAAAAGCATTTTAGTTGACTGGAGCTCTGGGTGCACCATCTCTTGCAGGATGTATTGTAAGGCATTTTTAAAATTTCATAAAAATTATTCTTTTGATAAGCAATAATTGGCAAGTAAAATGATGAAAAACACAATTTGCAATACATTGAAACGTTTCACAAGAGTAAAAACTATTTACACACAAAGTCTACCTGCTTTGGCAGGAACAAAGGCAATAGCGCTTTGTAATTTGATAAGTAATTCTGTAAGTAAAGAAAATGAAGTAAAATCTTGGCTAACTAAGAAGAAAAACGAAAATATATACATTACCACCGACTATTATGATGAATAGTACGGGGCCTCTTGTGGCGTTGTTCAATTGTTAAATCATAATTTCCTAGTTTTTTGATGATATTTTTAGGATGACTGTCACATTTCATAAAAAAGTTATGTGAAGCTTTTAGAATTTCAGAATCCGTGGGTTTAATTTTTAAATCATTGTGAAGAGTGATGTTTCGTACGAACCAAGGCGCATTTTGTAATTATTCGGATGGCCTTGTTTTGAATTCTTTGTATTTTTTCGCGATGAGTGGAGTCCTTTATTCTGTCCTTACGTACAGATGTCACGCAAAACCATCGTTAAATTGCATTCGATAGCGGTCAAAATGGATATTTTCGTTGAAATATGCTGCCTGAAACATTTCGCGATTACAATACTTCCTTTTTACTTCGTTACAAGGAAGTAAAAGCCGTCTCTTTGGGCGTAATTTAAAATATGAAAGTTTGTGGTATTCTTCATCACTTTTATTCTACTTAACTAAGATTTAAGGGACCTAGTGAACTTATTAAGCGAATAATCGGTCATGTGCAAAAACAGAAACGTAAACTCGAGAAGGGTTAATTTCCCTTTATTTGCTCAACATAAAGATTTACAGTTGGCCCCTTTCTCAGGGCGTACAACGAAAAGTCCACTTGAGCCTAAATTCAGAAGTTAAGAAAGAACCAACTAATGTCTAATTAAAGAGATTCAGCCGAAGCTAACATAATTCCAAACTAGTTGACTCGTAATATTTAAATTATCCAGCGAAGCTATCAAAAGGCAGGTAATACGATCGAGCTTAGTAACAGTTAGAGAGACGTAGCCTAAAGGCAAACGCACGCTATTCAGGAATCCTAACTTTCTTTCTCAAAGTCAGTGAGAACTTAAATATTTTCTACTTCTTATCTGCTTTAACGAGATTCTAAAAACTCATTCTGTTAAGGAATTGTAAGGTGAAGTTAGAAGAGATAGGAAAAGCGAACTAAATTAAAATAACCCTTATAAAATTAGAATATACCTTACAAGCATTCCGATTTTTTTCTTTCTCTTCTTTTCTTTTCTTTTTTTTTTTTTTTTTGTAGCCTTTTCAAACTTTTTTTGTTAACATCAGACTTACCAATAATTTACATAATTCGCCCCAAGTCTATTAGGACACTGATTCCATTTTATGCTACCAAAGAATTTAAAACTTTATAGCGGTTAGGAAATATAGTTCAATGTATGCTTGCCTAGCATCTATACTTCCACGAAGTATTTCAGCACTACCACCTGACCGCAAATCCTACATGTTAATAACTTAACCACACTAGAGCTCAACGAACACCTAAAACTTAAATTTATCGTACTGTGGTAAGATTTGAAATTTTCTTTAAACTTTAGGGTTGGTTGGAAAGCCTAATTTTAAACTATATCCATTCACAAGTCCAGCTTTAACTTACAATATCTTAACATTTGTGAACTTCAACTTAAGTTTCTCATGTACACATCATCAAGTCAACTCATATAAATGTCCAAGAAATTGCTTTTGCATTTGAGACATAGTTAACAGGAAATTTTTATACTTACAACAGCAATCAAATGATACTAGGAATCGAAATTTGATTCATCTATTGATGCAGTGGTATAAATATATTGCTATGATTTTGTCAAAAGTTTAATTATACAATTCGTGCCGTTATTAAAAGTTAATACAAGAATTTTACTGAAATTGTTCATTAGAATCATGAATGTTTTTGATCCAAGCATATGAGATTTAGAATTTGGATATTTGAACAGTTAACATTTTAAATTGCTTCGTGGACATCTCGTTGCTAACCACTGATATATACAATTCTTAAATTTTTACGTATAGCCGTTATGTACTCTTGCGTTGGTTTTGCGTCTTTAAATAAACTACAGACAAAACTTCTTTATACTTTTTATTTCAAACATTAAGAATAAATTGATAGTTGTAAAAACAAATATTTAAAGCTTGATACATGAAAAACTACAGTGCTTATGTAAAAACTACAGTGCTTATCAAATGTGCTGTCGCAGAGCAACGAAGTTCGTCTCTATACTACAGCGAAGCATGAACATATTGATGCCAAATAAATTTCTTCTTAACGTTATACTAGATTTTTGTAGGAAACGCTTATCAACAAAATATAATAATTTATAGAATGGACATTATGCAGTCTTTTGACTGAGCTGAAAATAAATGTGAGCAAAATGTGTTTATTATTTTCACAAGTAAAGAAGATTTATAAATACGAGTATAATGATATGTGGAAACATGATCATATGAGGTACTTCAGCTTCGCAAATTGTTGTGATCCATGAAAACTGTCATTTCGCAATTAAAGTATATCATGAAAGATTAATTAGGAAATCAGTTTCCTTCGAAATGAGTAATGCCATCAAATATTCTGTGTGGAATTGATTTTAGTTCTTATTTGGCCAAACTAATAGTAGAAAATGCATGTCTTTTCATTTCTTCCAGCTGTCAGATTGGTATAGGAAGATTTCTTATTGCAGTAAAATGCGTGAAATTTTTGCAGAGGCACAGATGGATCAACAAACCTAGGCAAATAATAGCGAGTAGCCATCCGACGAAGGAAAGGAGTATAATGACTTCGACGCTGCATTCTGCTTGAGGTGTAGCTACTTTACTGAGATTACACGTAATAGTGATTGGATACTCGGTAAAGAGTGGTACAAAGTGGTTCCAGAATGTCATCCTCTCTGATTCATATGAGCGAGCTACAAATGGTTGTAAGCCCAAGGTTGCGAAAAAATCTTCTTCTTCTGTATATGGTCTCCACGTAAAATTCTTGAATGCAGAAATGGAAGAGTCTCTTCTAGGAGTGGGATTTCTGGAAGTAAAATCAGAAAATTAGTCTGTTGCAAACTAAAGCTCAAAACAGAATTTTTGGTAAAAGGATTATACATATTGTTCTTGTTCTTACATTTCAAGAAGCATTTTAAAACATCTACGCGCTATAGAGTAAATTTTTTTCTCGAATGAATGAATGATCATTCTCAGATTTCGAAGAAAACCATAAAAACTTCTAGGAATATTTTATAAGCCATTTACTTGCGCGTGCGTAAGTTAAATGTATTATTCCCACATATAATAATGACAATACTCTAAACAGATGGAGCATGCGGTAGTCTCCCAGACATATATTTTGATTCCAAAACAGTTTGTGGCGTTGGCTGTACAGTAGAATTTTTGTATTAAATTCATTTGTACAATAATTGAAATGTTTTTTCTTCTCTTGGCTTGATGTTAAAAATCTTTAAGTAAGGAATATGTGCTAGGACTGCTCTCACTTTTTCAAATATTTTTTAAGGTGCTTACATATGCAGTCCTGCTAAAGAAAATAAACAACAAAGGCAAAACACGGAATAAAACAAAAACTGTTTAATGAATATGTGTGAAACTGATCCAAGAGGTTGGTGTGGTATTACTAGACCATGTAGCAAACAACAACAACAAACAAACAAACAAAAAGACGCAGCTCCCCCGGTAGGGTACGAACTGCGCGAAATTTCATCCAAGATTCTCCGCTTCCTCTTATCTAACAGACGAACTGCGCGACTTTTTCCTGTCCCCTCTCTCTAAGAACTTGAATTCCAAGAAGATTGGGTGCTACAAAAAATCATTTATCGCCATTAATGGGGCATTTTATTAAGAATGCAAGCCTCTATTTTCGTTTATCAATATTGTAAAAAATTGATCATACAAAACAAATATTAAAGTTTGGCGTGTGCTAAAGTAAAAATGAATGTCTTTTATACTCATTTTAAAGTTTTACCGCTTGTGCATAGGATTTATTGAATACTATGTGATCTTCATTTGTAGTGGTGGCTTTCGTGGCTGGATTCTGTTTGCGAAAGGCTTCGATATCTCTCCAGTTGCTAGCGTGTTTCCCGAAACAGTTACAACACCTCGGTTCAGAATCGCGAGGCTTAGGGCAATGTCCACTTTCATGATCGCCTGAGCATTTGCAGCACCTTGGTGGATGATTACAAGCCGCCTGTGTATGATGAAAACGTTGGCACCGATAACACCGAGTCGGCCCACGACGACCTCGGTAGCGTTCGATTTTAATATGCACATACATTAGGAAATTTAATTTAAAAATTTCCCCGTCCGGGCATTTTTCGGGAGTGTGACGAGAAAAAGTGGCATTTTTTCTTTTTCTGTGCTATGTCTTCGCATTAATTGTTCCACCTTTAGGACTGTTAAAGATTTTTAAATTAACTTATCCTGTATTAGTGTTGGTTCGACATCTATTGGCAAGTTCCTAATTACAACTTTTAGATTTTTCTCATCTGGGATGAAAAGCAGCGAGTACAACGGTCGTATTTATACCTTTCGGCAGTAAAGTGAACAAGAAAGTAGAGCCATCTGTCAGCAAAACTAATAGCGAAATCGAAAAATTATGTTAATAGAATTTTAAAGCGTTAGGAAGGACTGGGTTCGACGAGTGGCGATGGTTTACGCCACAGTACTTGAAACCTGTTAGAAGGTTCATCAAATGAGAAGCCGAAGACTTTTAGTAAACTATAAAATTAACTTCATTTAATATTCAAAGGTAAAATACGAAATTAAATACATGACTATAAGCCGATGTCAAATGTTGACCACGAATAAGCAGGAACAGTGAAGTACAAATGCAAGTGAGTTTCTCGTACTTGAATACCACATCCGCATGTTTATGTAGCCAATATAGGCTTTTATAAGCTATACTTAACTAACCCTAAGGCAATCAGAATGGAAACATGCAAATAAATCCCAAACAGGGAAATCGGAGGAGATCGGACTAACATCCAATCAACAGATAAACTCATTCAGCCACCCCTAAGAGACAAGTTAACAATACAATGAATAAATAAGTGCAAATAAAGAAATGTAAATTATGTTTACATATAATAAATGTTAGTTACAATACAGAGCTATAACTATAAGCTTGTAAAACTGACAAATACAATAAATACAGTAACGTGAGAATACAAAGCTAAGCTAGGTTACGAAGTTGTGATCCTTCATCCTATTTGCTGTGAACGGTCTGATGTTAGCATCCTCTGGCATGCAAATATAATTAATTGCAGCATTAAAGTCACCCTTGCTGCAGTTCAGTCCCTTATTAAAGAATTTTCTCTTCAGTCTATGTAGATACTTATCTATATACTCAATCTGCAGATCACCTTGGAGCAGCTTATTTCTTATGTAATAATGTGCGCCAGTAATTGTGAGCAAAATTTAGAGTAACTTGCAATTTATTAATGTTTGTGTTCGAAGCGGTCGTCCAGACCGAGGAAGCATAACACACAATTGGTCTAAGTATAGAAATGTAAATCTGGCTTTTCCTACGTAAATTTATTTAAGAGATTCGTCCCAACAGTGCTTGCAGTTGGTGTGTATTACCTCTCGTAAGTAATGTAGTTGATATGAGTGCTCCAAGTTAGTCTTTGATTAATATAAACACCCACATAGCTTTGTCTACCATGGGTACCCTTTGTCCAAATACATAAAGAGGCTCACCGTAATATTTGGTCTTTTCCTCCGAATAATAAGAAGCAGAGATTTTGTAACTTAATTTAAATTTTTCATTTACAGCATCACTCCTCTATATCCAAAATAATATCTTGCAAGGTGCTGATAGCTAAATTAATCTTACCGCTACGGCGGTATCATCCACTTAGGAAAGGAATAAAGTATTTCTATTAAGTTTTTCTTGCCGGAAGTGCGCAGCAAAGAACAGGTAGAGTACGGATCCTAGGCATGAACCTTGATGTACTGCAGCCGAGATAGTATTATACATAGAATATCTTTGCCTAAAGCTGACTGTAAAATATCTATTATTGATGTACAAATTCAGCAACAAAATCAGCTCCCTAGGAAAGTTCATTCTGATCAATTTCAAAATGAGTCCCTCATGACAGAAGTGGTCAAACGCTTTGGCCACGTGCACCATGAGGAGAGCAGTACAACATTTGTGGTGCAACGCGGAGCCAACAAACTGCACTAGTTTGATAAGTTGTTTTGAAGCTCACTTTTAAAGCCATGGTCCTCATCTGGGAGTAACTGCATGAACAAATGAAAACCTTTTGAAAATGGTTCTCTAGAATATTTTACCTAAATTGTAACGTAAACTTATGGGCCTATAATTTTCTGCTTTTATGATTTCTTTGGCTTTGGTAAACGGAAGATTTCTGCGCATTTTCAGCTCTCTGAGAAGTGACACTGAGTGATACAAGCATTGAAAATGCTAGTTAATCTTGTGGTGCCACTGCGGGGAAGATTCTTGATTGGTAACCTATCTATGCCAGCGACTTCTTCGGGCTTTAGCTTTGCTACAATGCTTAAAACTTTTCTAGGTGTGGTAAGATTACTTCCATTAAATGCCGTGAAACACTCAGCCATTCTTTGACTTCACTTTTGCCATATTCAAAATTGGAATTTTAAGATGTATAATTTGGAACTAATTGCCTTTCCAAGTGAGACGAATATATAGGAATAGGAGGTGGTGCCATTAGTCACAGTTAGCCTCTCACTATGAAGAGTGCGCTTTACCATTTCATTTTGTAGTATTGTGCCAAAACGCATCGTTGTCTAATTCTAGCTCAGCAATTTCATCGTTCCATGTCTACCGCTTAACTCCTGGATTTCCAGTTTAATGTGCTTACATATTCTATTCAATTCAGTTTTCATAACAGGGTTCCAGGTGATATTATATCTTCTACAAAGCCTTTACTTTCCGCAGTGAATGCTTTAATATATCTAGGAAACTTTGTAGTCTTATTGGTCTTCTGGATGAATTTTCTGGCCTCACAACAGGAGTCGTTAAGACTTCAGTAAGCGCTTAAACTTTTGTTTTGATATCTGAAGGAGCTGACGTCTGTTCGACAATAGGGAATTTCTTTTCACTGTGTCATGAAACATTCTCCAGTCCATTAACTTCTTAAATTGAGAATTGTTTATACTAGAGACCCTCCAATGTAGCCACAACAGATATGTGATCAGAGGTTAATTCATCATATACCTCTAAAACCATGTTAATTCCAGCATTAGACAGAATGATATACAAGATATCCGGGATATGACTTGCAATATGTGGTCTGTACATAGGCGAGATAGGAGCAAAAATTCCAAATTGGGTGATTCTCTCAGTATTTTGCTATTATAGCTAGTGCTCCGGCAACCCGTGCCTACGTACTGCCTAGCCTACGTACTCCAGTCTGAGTATGTTTGCAGTTAAAATCGCCTCCTACAATAATACACGAGGAGACAGGAATGACATTTTCAAGCAGTTCTTCAGTGAGTGTATTATGCTGCTGTGAAGAGAGTGTCCCCATTTTAGGCAGATGTATGCAAACTACCATAATTTCGTAACCATTGTCCCTGTCGAGAGATATTAAATATCGGAAAATTTAACAATCTACCTATATTAGCACACCTCCTCCTCTGTGATGCAAGCGATCACTTCGTATGATCTACAATTTTTAATACTTAATTTGTTTTACAGGGTGGTATTATTAAGACACAATAACACGCCGAAAAAATACTACTTCAGAAGTCAAACAAAAATCAGCGTTAATTTACAAAATTTTCACAGGACTAGTTTTGATAGATTTACCGAACCACCATCCTCAGCTAAAAACCGCAAATGAACAAGATAGGAAATAATGATTAGACAAGATAAGAAAGCCTGGACAAAAATAAGCAAGTGTCGCCATCTATTGGTGAAACCAGAACTAAAGCATCATTTCTTTAAAGGCCGAAGGCAAAGTTGGATTGGAATTAGGATCATTAACTAAAACAGAAAGATTTTTATGAATGTGAAATGCCTCTAGAAAATCCAGT